ACCAATATGGCACTATCAAATTTTAGTGCTTGGATCTAGGCAAGTATCAAAAAATGAAGGAAAACAGGTTTCAAGTCATAAGCACAATTGTAGAAATATGATTTACTTCTGACACCAATCTTAGAGCAGGATATTGTTCTATAACCTGTTCCACAGCTGAGGGTTCCATCACGATATTTTCTCTTCCGCAGGGAAATGTAATCTCCATCAATTAATTTATCATTCCCAGTTTTCTGTTTGTTGACTTTAACATCTTTTTTCATCAACTTGACATGCTCATTGCATGCCTCTGCTGTTTCACCATCAGGTTTTTTAAGTACTTTACATCTATTAAAAATATCTGTTTTTTAACATTTTTTCATCTTTACATCGTCCTACTTATGTTCTAATAGGCATCGCGTTACTGATGGAGATTTTGTTTTTCTCAAATTTTGAAAAAATTTTTCATAGCTTGCTCCCATGAGCTCTATTAATTTAAGTAAACAGTACTCAACCATTTAGCCATCTTTTACAATCATATTTTCTGACATTAAGGGGTAAATCTTATAAGAGTTGCACAATTCACAGCATAGAGCATATTAATGGTTGGATAAAAAATGGAAGCAATTTCCTTATCAAAGTGATACTGTTGAGGCATGGAAATCCTTTGTGGCATGGAAAATTTTCTAATTCTTACAAACATTGATTTTTTCTAGGTTAGGTCCTCTTGTTAGATGTTGGTGAATGCGCTAAGAGGCGAAGTACCAATACTTCAAGCGCTTGGCAGTTATCATTGGTATATTTATCAATTTGCCTTACACACTTTCCAAAAGACAACAACAAATTGTCTTGTACAGGTTGATGTTGTCTGAAGGAAGCCTTGCAACCTTTATTGAAGAAGGAGTTTAAATTTAAATTGGGAACTCATTAGTAAGAATTTACAAGCATTAATCTGACTATCCAACAACATAACAACAACACTTCATTTTCATTTTCATAAATATTTTTCTACTGCAGGTAGCAACTGTTATGTTGGTGATGTTGACTACCAAGAACTGATACAAGTAGAGAATGAAAACACGACTCCTCAAACTCCCGTATATAAATAGGTTTTTTTACATATAATCTTTTCAGTTAGTGAGAGTAATATTGGCAGTAGAGCATATTTAAAATTTCATCATCTAATTCAACTAATGTATCTGGCACCTGTGCATATGGCAAATCCATTGACTGCAATTCATTCAAGTCTGATTGATTACAATAATCTGGTAAAAGCCCTTCAAAACGTTTGCAAGCGGTTATATTGCACCAAAATAGCTGCTCAGCTTTTGAGTTGTTCTCAGTCGATATGTGATGATTGTTATGAAACGCAACAAATTCTTCAGGCACTTTATTATTTCTTGGCATGTAGATAAAATGGAGGCAATACATATCAAGATCGTTATTAATATCAAGAACACCCTTAGCCTCCAACTCATAGAACTCCCTGCGGAGCACAGGCAACACTTACTCGTCAAGAGCTCTTTTGTGTCTCTCGATACGTTGATTGTGCAAAGACTTTCCAAACACAGTGGTTTGTTTGCCTCTCATCGTTTACATACCTGCTTCTCGTTATATACATATTTTTGCCTCTAAGATTTGTACGAATTTTCATTGGTCTCCCATACGTACGTACAGCTTACAAAAAGAGTTGATATACTGTTATTTTCGATTATTGTTTGAACACCTTGCAAAGACAACCATACGACTGAAGCCGTCGAGTTCATGATAAACTACCAGCTTACAACAAACTATAACCTATGATTCCCATCATATTTGTCTTTGCTTTCTTTGCTCTACACCCAAAGGATCTACAACATGAAGGGCCTTCCTGACCCTATGCCTTTGCACATGTATACTTGCCTTCCAGATTCCCTTGCATGATAACGTTGCCAGCAATAGGGTGGTTTGCCTTTATAATTGCTATTTCATGCTCAAGGGAAATCTCTGAGAGCGATAAAAATTTTCATGAGTAATACCAAAATAACTTATAACTTTATAAACAGTTGGTCTTGATACACCAAAATGTTTGGCAATAAATTTTATAGACAGATTTATACTTAGCTGCTCCAGTGATTGCTGGTTAAGTATTTTCCATGATCTTCCTGGACACCTTAGCTGAAGAAAACTTCTAGGAAATTCCATTAACATTTGCAAAAAAAATGTAAACAATGCAAACTAAGAAATTTGAAAAAGCATATTTACCTTGGGGAAGCATCCACTATCCCTGATTCTGAAATAATGAAGAAATAGCATGACATGAGTAACTAATATGAAATTTAAGTATCACAAAGAATAACCTCAAATTCGCCCGGTAATAAGGTTTTCAACCTCTTCTATAATGTGATTTGTCTGTTTCTCAAACTAAGTGCAGCAATCAATGGTAGACTTGGAGATTATCCTCACCTATCTAGCTGGTATCCTTTCTGTACTGCTAGTCCTACGGCCTGCAAATGGAACATGCTCTGGTCACTCTGCTGATTGCCTATTGGCATTACCTTCAACTGGTAAAGTTGGAGCAACATTTAAAATAATCATTGCATAAGTATAAATATGCATCATATTTATCACTTGGTTTCCTGTCATTTGACTTTCAAAGTTTTGACTGTCATAATGAGGCATTTGTAAAGATGAGACCAATTGATTTCTGATGCATATAGAAGTAATAATAAAGTAATAATATTGCAGCAACCGATTTGAGTTACCATATAATTTCTGCTGTTAAAATTTTCTTGGATATGCACGACGGATAGCTGTCGTCAAATTTTGCTCCAATGTTGACGCTTGCGATGACTGTGAAGAGGTGGAAGATGTCGCTGTATGATTTTTATCATCCGCCATATTTAAAATAAAGTAATGCCATAGTTGGCGGGATTCTAACCACCAGGGGGGATATGACCCGTGAGGACGTTTTCTGTATTACGTATTACCTTCGCCGTTGTAAATAACCATTGGGTTATTTTATATAACCAAATTATTAAAAGTTGATTATTTCATACAAACAAATTTACAAGTTTGGTCATTTAAAATAAGCAATATAGTTGCTCGCTAATTATTTCAATTAACGAGTTGTCAGGAACATGGTTCTTTAAAATAATTAAGGCATTGTTTATTAAATAAATGATATCGTTCCAAAATTTATGGTGAAAAAATAAATTTACAAATGGCGCTCCATACTCGACTTCATCGGCGTGCGAATGCAAAATTTTTCAAAACAAGGTAGCGGATGAGGAGTGTGAAAATATTGATCGCAAAAACTCCTCAGAGATGATTTTTGAAGAAATGCTAGTGAAAGAAGTTTGAAAATTTAGATACTTGTGGGATCCCCCATGCATGGCATACAAGGAAATTTAAAAAAAAGGAGCAAGCTTCGAGCGAAATAGCATCCAAATTGGAAAACGATGGTGAGAAGAAATATAAATAAGTAAATCTTCGATGATACACGTACCGCTTGATTTTATCTTAAGATTTTTTCTATTGAAAAATGTCTAGTTGAGGAATTTTTTCTATTGAAAATATCTATGTGAGGAATTTTTTCTATTGAAAATATCTAGTTGAGGAATTTTTTCTATTGATAATGTCTAGTTGAGGAATTTTTTCTATTGATAATGTCTAGTTGATGAACTCAGCTTCACTGGGTTTCTTAGTCTCTGGTATTTTAGTATGTTTTTCCAGTACATAGGATTCAGCTATATATTTGCAATGATGAACGTCAAAGAAATTGGGTGCAAATGTTTTAATGATGTCAGTAATTTCGTTAACTTTGGTATTTGGAGGTTTACTCGCCCTTTTCTAAGAAGGGGGAAAATCTTGTTCTTAGAAACAGTTAACTACTTACAGGACTAAGATTACTGCAAAGTCTTAATATAGCCTCTAGTGAACGTCATCAGGAGCAGAGTACTTAATATAGGATTAAGTGACTTTAATTCAACAAACACTTTATACTCTAAAAACATATTGACGAGCAGAAGAAGTTGTGGAAAAAATTGTGGAAAACCAGCAAAATGAAAATAACCCCAAGGGGTTTCTTTTTCATTATTACAAAGCGTGTGGAAAATTTAGCTTTAATTAATGTTCAAACTACTCGAGATGTATAAAAGAAATAATTTAGTCTTTGTTTCAATGAAATCGACTTGATTTAAAGTAAACCATGCAGGTGATCTATCACAAATAACGTCCAAGATGACAGTTGTTACTTGCTGTAAGATTACTTACTAAACGTTTGACACAACGTCTCTTGTATATGTACCACAGAAGTAACAATAACAGTACGGTGGACAGATAATACTAAAGGAGATAAGTTTTTTGGTCTCGAATGATTAGAGGATATTTTCGTCAACAGTTTATGCAACATCTTGGTATCATGTGAGTAATCTGTTTTAGATCAAATTGTTGCTGAACTAAAGACGTATTAAAATTGTCAAAATCAATTACTTTGCACTGAAAAGTGTACAAAAAAGCTTAAACCAAGAAACAAATCAAAACGGCAACGAATAGTGACAAAACGCTAAAACGCGGGCAAGAGCTGTAATAAGATTCTGCAAACTGGACAATAACAAGGTCAAGCCATTTAAAACTATTAGAGATTAGCTGATAGTAACAAAACATGGTGTTATTCTAAGATTTACTTAGACCTCTAAAAAACCTTCTCTTGCAAAGGCGTTAAAGTTAAACAAAAAAAAACCTTAACACTTATAATGCTCGCAGTACATCTCCAGCGACATATGATGCAAAAAACCGAGAAAATGAGTGCACACCTGGTCAACGTAAAATATCATTGGGAAACTTTGTTTGAAAATATGCACAAAATTTAAACATAAATAACATAAATGAAGATGTTTCCAATCACAATTAATCACTGTACGACTGAGTGTTTGACGTCACAGAATAAAGAGAGAGACTGCATTATAAAATTCTAAATTTAACAAGTTCAGCATTCGTTGTTTTATCAAATTATGTTCCCATTTGAGACTTATTACACATTTAATTTTTCTTGGTTTAATCATCTCCTTTATTTTTTATTTGAACTGTTACAATTTTTTGTCGTGTCATGCAACGATTTCAAATTATTTATGCTACTTTGTAAGTTTCCTTTATAGAGTCAAAAATTTGCCTTTTCAGATGGCTTGCATTTACCTTCTGCAAAGAAGGCAAATTAAGCTCAGGATATTTCTCTTTAAGCTCTTTCAAGCTATAAGGATAAAGTATTTCTCTATTACTATTATTCTCCCCATATATTGGATTTTCAGCAATAACAGCAACTGATTGTTTGCCGGAAGGATCACAAATTGCTTTCCAAAAATATCGAGGTATTAGTACCCGTTCGTTCAACTCTAGTGTCGTGCCATTTTCATACTTTAGTTGCCCACCTGGAAAAAAAATGAAACTCATTGAACTTTTCTTAGATAGTTGCGAAACAATTGTGAGGTTACTTAGAACCCAATGTCGACCAAGCAGTTCATATGAAAAATGTTTTTCAAGCGCAACCATTCTCGCAGCAAAGAATCACGAAAGCAATCCCCAAGTTTTTGTCCTGCTGTGTGAATTTTATATTAATAGAATTATTCAATTTCTTCGAAATTTTTAGTTTTTCAACCAGTGAACACAGAAAACTGAACATAGCAGGACCAAATTTGCGTGCTGTTTACGCCATTGCATAAAAGTATTAGTCAGTACTAGACACGATATGCTTAAATTGACATAAAAACTAAAAAAATTCAGAAAGTTAACAGCTGTTCATCTTATGCATCAAATCACCAATTCATTCTTTCTAACTTAAGGAATTATTTTGTTCTATAATTCCCCGACGAATATTTTATAAATGACCATTTTTGTTAAAAGTTTACATCTATAGCCGTACATAACAAAAACACGAATATACTAATTTAATGACAGAAGACGTAAATCTAATATTAATCAAAAAAAAGTTAAAAGCATAATATTCCCACCACAATTCTAATAGTTTTCTTTCCTTTCTGTTATAGTTGTTTAACTTGTCCTTAACAATGTAAAAGATCTGGCGCTCAAGACTTTCCAACACACACTATGTTTTTCGTAGGCTACGTGGATGACACAATCACAGCACTAGATGCAGAAAAAGCTGATGACTTTCGCACCAACATCAACAAACATAACAGTCACGTACAATTTACAAACGATGTTGAAAAAGGGAAATGCTCCTTTTCTCGGCATTTGGTAAAACATGGCAGCCAAAACTACAAACTACAGTTAAGTGAAAATCAACACACACCGACCAAATACTAGACCAATCACTGTAGTTACATGTACAAACCTACAACTCAACGACAACAGCGACGATACTATATATCACCAGTAGGTCTGAGACTCACATATCTTGCGATGAAGCAACATACGTGTTGCACACAAATCAAGTACAACGTTATGAAAGGTACTTACAAAAAAAACAAAGAACAATGAAGAGAACGACAAGGCGCAGTTTACAAAACAAACTGCTTTGATTGCCACGTCTCCTATGAGGATGAGACTGAAAAGATTTAAACATAGGACTTACTGGACACAAACGAGGTATAAAGAAACAAAAGAAAACCAATCACATTTCCGAACATCACCGACAGACAAAACAAAACATTGACTGAGACTTAGCAATAAGCATAGTTTACAGCAATGACTACAGAAAATGGCTTACATTACAAAGTTGGTATGCCTATTGCAAAATTACTCCCTAAACTGATCAATACAATTACTGGCACCTTAAAAACGACTTATTTACACTCTCAAATTAACAAATATATAATTAACTCATTATTTTGGACTGTTTAACGATCAGAATACACAATTGTCATACACAGACCAAAAAATTTCCTGTACAGAGAACACATTGACGTGTGAGACAGACAAAAACTACAGCAAATCTGACGCTTACTCCTCACTTAACTCTGAAGATAACTACCCGTATGTTTATTAACGTTGTCACACAGACTATTGGATAACCACACAGAAATGATTAATACCCTATATATAAACAAACCCTGAAACGAATAAACGAAGAAAAGAACATTTTACATAGAAACTTTGAAGGAATTACATAACAACGATGAATAGACCTTACGCAGATTTATACTGAGACTACAAACCACATGATATAAAGCATCTGTCTAATTTAAATACATAGTTATTAGTCAAATACAACACGTTTCATAGTTTCATATTATGTTTTATTCCAGTGATAATGTCACAATTTAACACCTTTTTTAGTTCTTTGCCAACTAAACAAACTTTACAGTGTAAAATTTTATTAAAGCGACTTATAATTGGTGTTGATGTTGACTGACTTTTTTACAAGCGATAGTCATCTTCAGAGTCGAGTGTATAATACTAACAGATCCGTAAAATAACATCACGTTTAAACACTGACACGTACACTCAGACTGAGCGCAGAGGCATAACTACTACGTTAATTGGGAGTGTATATTCAAATATTGCGTTGTGCCAAGTAAGATAACCGAGTATATGAATATACACCCCAAGTAACGTCCTAGTTACGGCACTAGCTGCGCCCTAAGACTTTCACAAAATCTCCCTGATTTGCAGGACATTTTGTAAATAATATCTCTTAAATCATGCTTTTACTTTTAACTAAATAATGATTTATTTTATGAAGTAATCGTTTTTTCATTTAAATAAAGGCACGACTGTAGTATTCATTAAAACAGCGAAATACGAATTCTAAATTCTTCTAAGCGATCGAAATTGTAAAATCAGTAAACATTGATGTTAAAAACACAAACGACATAAGAGACGTTGAAATTTTTAAAAAATACCCAGGACTGTTTAAGTTCACATTTACAAGGACAGAAATGTTGGCCAACTTAAGTTAGGCAAAAACTTGTTTCGTTTGTAGAAAAGTTCAAAATTGTTACGACAGCCATTTTGATTTTCGTGTTTGGATTGCCTAAATAATATAGTGTCGCACTGCTCAATTGCTGATCATTGTACATCATTCGTTGGTTTTAATCCTGCCATGTACAACCAAAATTTGAGCCATACTTATATTCATTTCTTTTTAAATATATTGTTGTATAAAATAAACCTCGTGGCTAACGGCCACTTTTTACAAATCAACTTATAAGCTCATTTATTAAAAGTATAAAAACAAAGGTTGATTGTTTTGACAAAACATGAAAGATGTGTACGCATCTTTGACCATGAAAAAATTATGGTTTGCAAATAAATTTACCTCAAAAAGCAGCGCTCCTAAATCTAGTCATATATCATTTAATTTGACGTAATGGTTATTTTGATCAATGTTTGATACCTGTTCCTGTTACTACATAAAGTTGTTTGTTATTTTTTTTGGCATACGTTCTCACAGCTTGCTCCAATTTTTTCCAGATTACACCATTGAAATGCTTCCATTGAGGAGCGCTGTTTGTGTTCACCATAGTAAATTTACGTTCGTCTTTTCCAAAGTCTCCGTTGGGGGTAAGATGACCCGCGTTGTAACTACCGTCATAACGCTTGTCAGCACTATAATCCTTCATCTTTGATTGTGGTGCTGGAGCTGTAAATTAAAATCAAATTAATGGATGCTTGGGAAATGTAAGAGGTTGTCAAAAATTATGCATTTTTCACACTCTTTTAAAAATCTTTGCGCCAAGTCAAAAACGTAAGTTCAAAACACATACCATTTGTATAGTCGTTCTAGTATACTATACCAAACGCTTAACTAGATTGGCTGTCCCATTCGATAGCAAATTAGCAATACATAGCAACATATAGTGTAGAAAAAGACTTGTTTTAGTTAGGTTACTCAAGGTAGATTTGATTGCTTACTTTATAGAGAGCAATTCTCAAGAAGACTAAAATTGCCACAAAATGCAAAGGTTAGTTATTTGAAGGTAAAATAAATAAAAATTCCATTAAAACACTTTGAGATGCGTTAAGCATCCGAGTCGTTGGCTTTTTAATATAAAACTACAAATAAAAAAACAACAAATATTCGAAAGCTTTATAAAAACTCTTTTCTTTACGAATACTTCTATGATTCTAATAAAAATTTGTCTACTCGCTTTTCATTTCAATAGTGCGACCGTGGATTTGGGCTTTGCCATGATCAACTATACCACCCCATTGAAATTTTGAGTTTGCACTATAGTTGTTAAGTATTACAGCTATAATCTTAGTGCGCATCAGTGAGACTTAGAGCTAGAGTTGTCAAAGTGTTGAGGCTCCCGACAAATGTTATGCACATTCAACAAACATGAGCATTAGCGGTTCTTTTATGTCTTTCTATAAACATTACTGCTTTTTTAATTTTTATTACAGTAGACGTCGCCATTAAAGAACTCCTCTGAAATGCAACGTGCTAATAAGAGTTATGGTTTGTTATTAGATTTATGCTTTGTTTTCAAAGAAAGCGCACTTTACTTGATAATTAACGCGAGTTTTTCATATTTTCACTATCACCGCTTTAAAGGCTGTATAAGTACTCAATATTTATGTGTACATTAAAATTAATTATACAACACGTACCAAAAGGCCCGTTCTCGTTTATCCACTTGCTTCTTCCGCTTCCCATAATATTTGCCTCCACAACGTGCCCAGTAAACTCTGGGATAAGAGTTTCGTTGTTATAACACACAGCAAATAACGTCCTACTTTCACCATAGCATAATCCAGAGCGATTTGGACCACTGCAGTCAACTTCAGTTTTCAGAATTCCTTTGTTTGAAAACCAATCATCAAACAAACAAGATTTAATATCACTGCTGAAGGCATTTCTGTTTGCCTTAACACTAACGGAAAACAGCAGAGACAGAGTCAACAATGCTTCCACACCAACAAAACAAGACATCATAATTTTCTGTTGATGATAAAAGTATTAGATGTGTTAAAGTTGTGTCGGTGTTAAGAGGTCAATCTACACAAAGCTGTCACATAAGAAACCCTGAAGGTGAATGCTTGATTCTGTTTTGAGTGTATTATGGAAATAATAAGGGCTTATATAATTACTTTTTATTGCAACAGTATCAGATCTTCTTTGCCAAAAAATTAAATCTTAGGTTACTAAACATTCAATGCTGCTTTATTGTAAAAGCGCTCTTTCTCTAAAAATAAATTGTTATAGTCATCTAAAACATATACTATATATCAACAACTTCACACGAAGAGTGCGTACATATTTTCACAAATATTTTCATTGTATGAGTAAATAGTACTTTCTTTACTTCATTGTATGAGTAAAGACAAGTTTGCTTTGCTATGGAGTTATGCAAATGATATCAAATTACACATAGGGGGTGTTTACATGAATCCGGAATGACTTTCAATCCCGATCGAAACGTGATGTCAATCCGTGTTTACATGAAACTAATTGTTGTTTTTCTTCGCACTCATTTTAACCCATTTAGCTTCTTTATTTACTTACGAGCTTCAATTTGCGAGAAGACAATACCCATGGCACATGCGTGCTTCGTCATTAATCACAATATCATTCCAGAATGAAACTCAATTCGCGTTTACATGAGATAAAAAGTAAATTTCGATCCGGAATGAAACTAGGAATGAACTCGATCCGGATCGAGTTGTGACTCATTCCGGATTCATGTAAACATACAATAGAATTTGTTTTAAAGTGGAATGAGTTCATTCCGGATCGAAAGTCATTCCGGATTCATGTAAACACCCCCTTATTTTAAATACAAGTTCGAAAATTCAACATAATTAGCTATTTATTCTAACCCAGTCTGTTATTAATTTTCGTTTTGTTACTAGTTTTAAACGGAGAGATTTTACATACCTTTTTACTTTTGAACGTAAACCTGTACAATTTATGCTCTCTGGCAAACCTTTGAATAGTTGAAGAAGACTTGAAGAGTGTTTTATAGGAGAGGAAACAATGTGGCGACTTGTAGTCAACACAAAAGACCACCGGCTAAACATCGTTCCTATTTATTTTCTTGCCAAAATTTAAACTCAACTCAACCATTTTTATTCAATGAAAACAATGTTACACCAAAAGATACTTATTGGCACAACCAACTTTTTTATTTATCCCTTTAGTGTAAATTTTTCTGTGTTCAATCATTGTAAAAATTAAAGATTTTGAAACAAATAAACATTGATGTTTAAAAATATTCACTGCACAAAATTGGCGAAAACTAGCAAAGAGTAGGATTATTTCTGTTTTATTTCATAAAAAAGGGCGATAACAACAGGCTATTTTATTATAATGTACAACAACTTTTTAAGAGAAAGCATGTTTTAGCTGGCTATTAAATCATCTTCGAGTTAAACGAACTAGTTACTTTTTAGGTTATATATATAAATGAAATAAAGAAATATGAAGCATGTGAGATTTAACAAATATGTAACATTTAACCGTTGTCGTAGATGAAGTACAAATATATTTTTGAAATATTGTTTTTTCGGGATCTTATGTTGGTCAAACACGTCAAATGCTTCAACAAGGTCGTTTCAAAGTCTTTATATGCCCATTCTAGTATAAGTTCATATAAATAATCACATAATTTCGTCATTCATTTGTCATTTACTAACAAGACATTTCTGTTTTATTAATTTCCTTCGTATGTCCTCTTATAGATCATTGCTCTCGAGCAATAAAATTGCTTGAATTTTTATGGTTATTATTTATAACAATCTAATATTATAATAATAGCCTACTGTCAAAAACAATTTGAATCAAGCAAATTTAAAATAGTAGAAAATTAAAGAAACAACAGGGGATTTTTTTAAATCCTGCGATCGCTGTTTGTCAAGATTATGAATCATAGTTGCAACGATGAAATAATCTTTCTACGCAAAATAAAATTCGTTTTCATGTGCACATGTCCTATTAATGTGAGCTGAAACACAGTTTATCAAAATGCTTTTAGTTTTTTTTGACAGACTCTTAGATTTATAGCAGCTTTGTAGCGAGCACAATAATAAATTTTGACAGGTATAATTCACCAGAGACAATTCATGCCTTATTTTTTAGCAATAAAATGTTTGGTGTAACTTTTCTCTTCTAATTATTTTGTGCTGACAAAGACGCAATACTTTTTTTGATTTGCACGCACAACAATTGATGCGTTTAAATAAACAGGTAATCTTTAAAAAGAGCTAATATCTTGTTAGCCCCCTGTAGATCTTTTTTGAATTAACGTTTAAGGCGTTTTAAATTTGCAGGCTGCACGACTTTTTAGTGCGAGAGAAATTATCCTTGAAAAGAGTTCATGATTAATTTTGCTTGTCATTCGTGAATCTTTATTGAATTTGTGTAAGAGTCACATTACATTTTATTAAGTCTTTATAACAGGCAAAGCGAAAGTATAAAGTACTTTTCACATCAAATAATTCATTCACTTATCAACATTACTAGCAGCCATGTAAGCATTCAACGTTTATTTCAAAAGCGTGTTTCTACAAAAATTATCGTGTATGCTCTAAATTGTGATGTTTAGATAACACGTGATGTTACCAAATATCATTAAAAAATTTTACAACTTCACAGTCGCACGAGAACAAATTATCTTATTAAATTTACTAATTGTACAAAAGATTTCTAACATGACAAAATATTAAAAATACGGTTACTTTTCTTACAGGTTTGTTAGTGTAGTTATTATTTTACTTGAAATTAATTGTTTAATCACACAAACGGTAAAGTGTTTACTTTATAAAGTTTTATAGTTGAAAACACGTGTTTTAACAAATGTTAATAGCAAAAGCATCTTTGGCTCAAAGTAAATTGTAGCAGAATATTGAATGAACTTTTATCTTTATTACAAAAGATTTTATTTCAGTGTAGACAATTAATAAAAAATCTTTAATATCTATCTAATAAACAGAATTGATATGACAAAGTAAAAGACAATCGGCTGAACAACTTTTCTAATCCTTTTCTTGCCATCTACTTCAAAAATACTCACAGTGCAGCTAAAAATATTGCATTTTATAAAAGATATAAAACACGTTTTGAACACCTCCATTTATTAAGTAAAAAATTTTTGACTAGGCGTATTTAGAGTTATCAAATAGTGATCTTCATTGTAAATGAACTACTTAATTTTTAGATTACATTTACAATAAGAACATGTTTTTCATTGCAATTGAAGTATTTTTGTTCTAAAATATCTTTATAATGGTGGAAATAAATCACGATAATTGTCAATTTCCTTTAAGTTGGTTTAAAAGAATATGGAGTGAATTTATTATCAGGGACAAAATATGTTGCCAAACAATTATTCATGGAACAAGATGTGTAGAAAGAAATAAATCTATCATAAGCGTTTAAAAGAAGGTTTTGGTTTTGCTGGTGACAAGACGGTTTTATTTGACTCTAATTTATCTTCGAACAGAATTTGAAATTAGCTTTGCAAGACATTATTTAATCTTTATTTGCTGTGTCTCAAAGTTGAATGAGCTTATAATAAGGTATTTATCTATGATGCTGAGTGATTAATATGCTTGCAACATCAAAAATTTCTCTGTTTTCATTGGCTTTCTTATCAAAATACATTGTATAACTAAGTTCAGCACTTCCTACATATTCTTTAAGTGATCAACTTCTTAATGTTATGCAACATATTTGCTACAAAATAGCCACGTAAGCAATCAATTTCTATAGGAATCAAGTAATTTAGATAAAATACAAACAGGTTCCTTATGTAAACTCAGAAATACAAAACTTAATGAAAATGCTCTATTGTATTCGTATCACCTCCAATTTAACAAATGGTCACCCCCATTTATGCAAATAATAATATTGAAAACTTGTGTAGTGTTGAGGGTATATAAAAGAATTGCTGTTTGAAAGATTATTACACAATGGAAGGTTAAAAAAGTTTGTTCGTGAAAAAAGGGTATTTCGGCATAAACTTAAAAATTATTATGGTTGGATAGCATGTGATTTAAAAACTTATGAGAAAAAATTATGATACTTTCATATTAGAAGGAAAACAAATAGCTTTATTCAAATCATCAGTAAAATACACGATTCTTAACATGCAAAAATATGGACAATAAAATAAGAATTTTTAATTTTTCATTGATAAAAATTGGTGTTCCACTAACAGTTAAGCAAAGTATCTTTCGATTAATGTTGTTGCGAAATACTAAACATATTTAAATTTATTCTGCAAAAAATGGGCAAATTAAGACACTATATATTCTAGAGCAATTAACGTTAAATAATATTCTGGTGAATTTGCTTTACTCGATAACATAAAAGACCACCGGAAAGACACAAGTTCATTTTATTCTCTTGCCAAATATTAATTTAGAATAAGACACCGGGTCATGCATGCGTATACTCGTGCACTTTCTTTATATGACCTGATAGATATCGCAATTTTATTCATTTTTTAAGTCAAGCAACAATTTTCAGTGTTTAAATAGGGCCATCTAAACATGAAAATTAACGTCTAATAACATATAATAACACTAAGGTACTTGGTAGCACTTTAGTCTTTGATGCTTGTATATGCTTAAGTACGATATTACGACGTCAAATTTAAGCGTTATTAAAAATGGGAAGATTCTACGTTTTTTTACGCTTCGTAGCTCACACGATTAACAATTCTTTTCAAGACATTTTTGTAATGTCATATTTTGAATTGGTTTAGTAAAACATACAAAGAACATTAAAATTATTTCATGCGCTACTATTTAATAAGGCTGCAACCTCCACCACCCCACCCCCCCGAAAAAAAAACCCACAAAAACTTCATAAATCAAATATGTCCTACCAAAAGCTCTTGTAAATAACAATTTAATTAGCTCAAAAAAGTTTGATAAACTTGATAGTTCTGTGCCACTATAATTTATTGGATATTAAAATATATAGTATATGATACCAGGAGTGACTCCAGGCTGATGCAACTGATTTAAGTGAATCAGTCATAAAATATATTGAATAGTTCACAACATTATAACTTACAACCAATACAAGCAAATAGCAAGAAATATATCACATTGGAATGTTAATAGATTCTAAATGATTTAACGCTGACAAAATATAGACAACGGATGTACTTGATGATTGAGAAATATTGTTTAAAGCCTGCATAGATTGTTTACATGTGAGTATCCGTCTCGTATGTCGAAATTTTCAGCGAAAATTCCTTTCCTCATCCAGCTACAGTGAGTTGAATTTGTATGGCTACGTCACAGTGGCTAGATAGTGAATCACTACGTCATGGTGGGTAGATCATTGAATGATAAATATGTTGGAATTAAAAATGCCTGTGATTGGATGAAGCCAACGTATGTCTAAAATTCGACTTCTCCCCCTGAAAAAATGCATATTTTTTTGGCGATCGATGCTTTTTTTAATTTTGACAGCAGGAATTCCGTCAAAAAATTTTATATTTGTTGTTTATTTGACAATGTTCTGATTTGTACCTTGCTTACCTTATACCAGCGAGATTTCTAGGTGTAAAAATGTAATCGACAAGAATCGAGGTCGTTCCGACAAACTACGACAAGACGAAAACTGCTAAAAAATAGATAAAAACATTATATTTGAATATTTTCAGTACTGTGCACATCGTTTTTATAAATACATCTTTTACGTGCATCGTTGATGTCGTTTTACGTTTAAAAAATGGTCATTGGGTCTTTTTATTACAAGATATATATTTGAGTTTCCCAGTATTTATTTGATTTTTGATTTTATATTAAAATGTTGCGTATTAAGCTTATTCGTGATATGCAATGTGCTTATTTTCTTTTTGTTTTTATAGGGGTTTTTACACACAACGTACAAAAATAGGACATTGTTTACATTAAATATGTTATTTGTATTTATACATGACATGAAATGGGCTTTTAAAT